ATTACCTATTAAAAACTTTTACTTTTGTAAATTAATCTACTTTTAAATTTATTTTAAACAATAATTTTTTATTTTTCTATAACAAAAGATTTTTTTATAATAAATTTTAAGTTCGATATCCCCAAAATTGATTTTGAATCTTAAGTTAATTATAATAAAAATATTTGTTATTTTTAAATATTTTACTAATTTTCTTATAAAATATTAAATAATTATTAAAATGTATAAAATTTAAGCTTTAGAATGTAAAAATTTTTTAAAACCAAATTATTGTTTATTGAAAAATAACTTTTAAATTTTCGGAGATTAACTTTTGTCAAAGCTACGATAATCACGTAAGATCACGTGATTTGGGTAAATAAAATGGGAATCATACTTGGGAGTTTCTTTTACGATAATTCTATCTAAATGTGGCATTTAATATGACAAGTATAATATTTGTCATGCAATGCACACATTTTCTTTCATCGAGAGTTGACCGTGATGATCGAATATGCGTTAAACGCGTTTTATTTCATGGGATTTGATCCTTATATTTATTACGCAAGGTTTACGTTCCGGTCGAGAATTTAATTAAATAAAATTTCCATATGCAAGATATGTAATCTTATCTTATTTTTAAATTAATTACATGCTAGTTGTTTGCTTATTGTGTTTTATCTCTATTTATTGATTGTTTCTTGCCCATGCTATTAATTTTTGATAAGAAAAAACTGGGCTCCTTAATAAATAATCTTTGATAATTTCTATAAATAAAATTTAAGAAACGATTACGTCTTACACTACATATTCGTGTAAATGAGACCGAGTTATTGCTTATAATATTTAATTCCTATATTTAAAATAATGTAAACATCGTAAATATCTATTGCGCGATGATATACTTATTTGACCGTATACAAATCAAATATCCATGCTGTACGCAATCTTGGAAAATAGAACAATGTAACTTATATCTAATTAAATTTAGAATGTAAATAGCGCAAAAGCTTTTATATGCTTATTAGTTTTTTTAAAGATATATTCACATGTTATCGAATGAAAGTTATTGGAAGTCGAATTCTATATGTTCAAAATCAGAAAATACGAAAGGTGATGGTGTTGATGAACCAAGTTCGGAGAATAGTGTGGATTGTGTGAATTCCGAAGATGAGAGTAGTGCAAGATCAGACTTTATGCGCACAGACGATAAAAATTCATCGGGCTCGGAAAGTATGAGTTCTTCTTGCAAGGGAATTTCGAGAGATTCGAATTCTAGAAATGTCGGGGTCAATCCGATCGGCGTAGAATCGACAAATCCATTTAGTGTGGATTGAGAACATTCAGGCGTATATGTGTCGTGTTCGGATGGCGTCAAAGATGAAAGTTCGGCGAATTTGTGGTAATTTAATGGTTCAGAAGAATTATCTGATAAAAATTTAAGGAATGGTGAAGACTCTGTGAGTGGAACGTATTCGGTGAACGGGACAGAAGATGTCACAGTCTGTGGGTAAGGGACGTTAATTGAATGAGAATCGGAAACCCAATTGTCAAGTGAAAAGACGTAGCCATTATTTGTGTTACTATACGCAAACTTTAAGAAATAATTTTTGCGTTCACTTGACATCTCTTTCCAGAAAAAAGATGCCAACTTCATGCTTTCCCTCATGTTAATCTTGCAGCTAACAATCTTGCTTATGGAAAAATAAAAAATTATTGTTTAAAATAAATTTAAAAGTAGATTAATTTACAAAAGTAAAAGTTTTTAATAGGTAAT